CTAGTTTCCTGCGTGGTCACCGGACCGTCACTGTTCATGCATCGGACCTCCTGCCTGCTGCACCCCAAAGGCTAGTCCGGACATCCTATCCGCTGCACCGGACTTCTTGTCCGGAGAGTGAAAGAGCGAAAGATCATATTTCAGCTTCTCTGCTCAAATAGGGCGGAACACTTGTCCAGTGCACCGGACCTCTTTTTCGCTGCCTACTAGTTGCTGCACCTCGCTGCACTATTTTGCAGCCGCTGCACCCGACTGCATGTTCGCTGCACCGAACCTTCCTATCTGGTGTACACCGGACGATCCACTGCACCTTTTTTTAGCGTGACACATTTTTGTATTTTAGGCATAACTTTTAGCTCCGAACTCTGATTTTGATGATCTTGAACTTTTCAGAAAGCTAATGAAAAGCTCTATAGCTTTGACCTGGTGTCATGTCAATTTGAGTAGATACAAGATCATGAGACAATTCCAATTCATCCACCTCTTTGTCTTAGCTTTAGTGGCTTCAACTTTGTTTGTGTCTTCGTGTTCGGGCTTCTACTTCTTGGTGTCTTTAGACTTCTAGCATGTCTTTCAACTCTTCAACATGGCTTCTAATGTCTTGCTTGAGGTGTTGATCATCCGGATCACCATGTCACCTAAGTCCAAGCCACCTTTGCACCCTATTGGACTACAAAACAAACACTTGCAAACTTATTAGTCTAATGGTCATGTTGATTATCAAACACCAAATTGCAAACTAAATTGGCCGATGGTCCATTTACCTTACAATGTGTATAGAATTTTACTAGAGTTGGACTAAGGGTTAAGTTAGAGTTTTGAGTCTCACTTTGTAACCTAATGGCGTAAATACGAGAGCAACCGGTGTTGTGATCGTGAGACAATTTCACATGATAACATCCTGATGCCAGTGTTATTGTTGTTTTTCTATTGGGAGGAGTGCTTATAATCACATGCCTCAAAGATGTAGATAGATGTGATAAGTGAAAGTGCATCAAATCCTATCGTGGGTTTTGGTGATACATTGATAATGCAAACAAAAGACTAATGAGATATGACGAGTATTTCAATTTATGAATAGGTGAAAAGTGCAATTGGAAAAAGGAGACCCCTCCAGTGCAATTGCAAAAAGGAGACCCCTCCAATTCTATTTGTGTTAAAAGCTACAGCCCGAAGGATGAAATTTGGAAGCATCATTTGTTTTCTAAGTTCCTTTGAATTGAATTTGAGTAATAGGTATGTTGTACTATTAAGGGGGATTGGAAACTGACTACTTGCGAGTGTCTAGGTGTTCATAGGTCACTGACCAAAAACTTAGACACAATGGCTGCTAACTAAAAACTTTTCAAAATGAGGATTATCTGTCAGTGATCAAAAATTCAGGTCATCATCGGAAATTCCGACCAGTTGGAACTTCAGAAGAAAATTTTTTTGACCAAGGGTGCTCTGTCTAGGTTTGATTTCTAGGACTGACATTTTATCTCATAGATCTTAGTCCTCATTGCACAATTTGAATTGTTCCTAGGTATCAGAATTTCTGGTCATTATTGGAATTTTCGGTCACAATAATGGCTAGCTGAGAGAAGTGGAGTGTATATACATCTTCGCCATTTGTCTTCATAACTCTTAGACATCACCAGCACCTAACTCATGCCAAACACATTTGGAGCTTCATCTCTTCCCCTCTTGTGCTTCTAGTGATTGAATCTTTGTAGGGATTGGAGTAGTGTGTGTGTGTGAGAGAGAGAGAGAGAGAGAGCTTGTCGACTTTATTTTTCTAGATCTTTGAGCACTTGTGACCTTGTCGTTTCTTGTATTTCTAATTGTTACTTCTAGACTTTGATTTGTTGTAAATCCTAGATGAATACGCATTGCTCGGGAGTTCCCGATCTATTGTTGAGCACCGAGAAGTTTGTATTATCCATCATTTCTAGTGAATGGTGTCGGGCTTGATCTTTGTGGTCACCTTGACAAGATAGGAGTTGAAAGAGACTCTAGACCTTTGTAGTCTCCTCAACAACGCGTACATAGGTACACCTTTATGGTGGGCCGAACCTCGGTATAAATCGCTTATGTTCTTCCTCTAGTTCTTCGCTCAATCTTGCCAGATCTACTTGCATCGAAGTTCCTAGGACTCTACAACGTGTTGAACTCTCTTCATTTACGTATCTCCATGTGTGGTAACTGTAGATTTACATTTCATTGGTTAAATTCCTAGTTGGCTTGATATCTGTCTTCCTAGAACTCGAGATTCGAGGTCTAGGACCAGAATTTCCAATCAGAGTTGAAAATTCTGAGCTCGACAGGAATTTCCAGCAGTTGGAGATTAATCCATAGTCGAGCTCATTGATCCTTTCAATAAGGTATTCAATTCGATGCCTAGTAATGAGTAGCCCATAAATGTTTACAGAGGATCATAAGGTTGTGTGTGATAGGGAGGTTTGAAACTCAAGGAGCTAGGACAATTACTTTTGACGAACTTGGTTGTGATATGGAGAATTGGTCTCGATTTATGACATCCAATATTGTTATGTTTAGTTCTATATTGACATGTGATTTTCAAGGAGAACAACATAAAAGGTAAGAACCCTCACCCATTAGGCTTTTCTTGCAAGGAACTAGGGTTGGTTCACATGCAACAACTTAGCAATAGCACCGGATCTTCTAAGGCCTCTAGGGTCCATACCATCAACTCTGGTTAAATCCTTTCTACCTTCAAAAGGTCAACATGTTTGGGTAATAGAATGCTACCATCGACTCTAACCACTAGGCATTGTAGCTAGCGTCTCTAATCTTTTTATCCACTTGATTTTGAAACTAAAATTTTGAATAGATGTTACAATATGAGATAACATGTTTAATAAGATATGCCTACTTAGGTTGAGTAAGGGCCAAGGTCATGGTTGTTTTGTGGGTTGTACTAGACAAGGACGACACGGGTATGGCGAATCAAGACACCCATAGTAGGCAATGTTCTCATCATCCCATCCTTTGCTAGACAAGTTTGCTATCACATCAATTACTTTACACTCATCAATATCCAATAAACCTCCACCTTTGGCTAAGTCATTTGTCGCTAAAATAACTATAATATAGGGAAATACGAGTACCTATGTCAAATTGATCTTTGATCCCTAGTGGGTAAATTTTACCACAAGGAATCCAAAAGGAATCCAACTAGGTCAGTTGTGCTCAGTTCATGCCTTCATAGACGACTAATATCCAAAAGGGAACAATTCAATGCTGGACATTTTTGTATAGCTCTAAACTTTTACAATTTACTCTATTCATCCTAAATTATAAGTTATTTTAACTTTTCAAGGCACATAGACTTTAATATGTATCAAGTCATAGGTTATATATATTTTTATTTGAGTGCATAACAAAAGTAATTAATCTATAAAAATCAAAACGACTTATAGTTTGAAATTGAGGGACTAGAATTTATGATGGACCAAACGGGGCCTTATTAATCAGAGCAACTAAATCACGAACGCTCATTTAATTCAAAAGCAGCGAACTATTTTCCCACATGCAGCAGTTTTCTTTTTTGAAAAAAAAATCCCACATTATTCCCTTTCGGGCACGCCCATCCCGCACTCCCCTGCATGCGCCCACACCTCTCTCCGCTCCCTTTTCAACTGGCTGTGACGTCACCTGACGCAAACCAGAAAAGAGTAAAACATTTATTTAAAATTGCTATAACTTCTAAACGTTGTATCTATTTCTAATTCCGTCTACACTGGTGTATTCTAGTGACGAGGCGAACAAAACTAGACCCCACTTGCTTATGTTTTAAAGAATTTTATTTTAGTAGAAATTTATGTGTATTAACTTATAACATATAACTTAAAATTTGGAAACACAGAAGTTATTGAACATAAGGACGAATTAACTTATAGCTTTTACCAAAACTTGGAAACACAAAAGGAACGAATTGACTTATAATATACCAAAACTTGAAAACACAAAAGTTATGAAACACGACTTATGTACAAAACATTATGTTGTCCAAGTTATGCATAAAAGTTATGTGTATAAACTTGGTAGATAAAAGTTATGAAACACAACTTATGTACGAAAGTTATTAAACACAAAGTAACGAATTAACTTATAACTTATGCCAAAGCTTGGAAACACAAAAAAATATGAAACACAACTTATATACAAAATGTTATATTGTCAAAGTTATGAATATAAGTTGTGCATTAAAGTTATGTGTATAATTTAGTAACTTTCCAAAAAAGAAAAGTTGCCGAATTTTTTTTGCCAAAAATAGAAAGTTGCGGGACCGCTCAATCGTTGCCGGTGGGATTGAAATTGGGCTTATCAATCCACAAATCAAAGTTGGAGGGCAAAATATCAACTAAGATCACCTCCAAATCAGTTAGCGACAGGGCGACGTCCTCTTTTGGAGCCTAACGCTCACAGCATCAGCTCTTTCATTCACTAATCACTCAGCCTATTCGTTTATTGGTTTCAGTCAGACCTTATCAGTCAACCAATAGTGTTTTTCTCTCACAACAAACTAGCTCCAGCCGGACTTATCAGTCCAGAAACCAAAAACATGTTGAGAAGTCGCTGTAGGGTGTAGCGCCAAACAGCTCTTACTCCTACTAGTGACCAAGTGTCACTCACTCACTGGTGTTGCACTAAGCTAAATAGCTAATTAAGGTGCTGCCCAACTCCCTGATACTATGCCTGGGCGGCTGGCGCTGGCGCTGGCGCCTATATATTGGAGGCCCATCGCCCCACCAAGATCACCACAACAAGGGCAGCAGACGTGCAGCGCCTCCCCTGTCCCTCCCTACTAGTCCCTCGGTCTCGACTAGCATCGCGAGCTGCACTGCTCTGCTCCCCTGCTGCTGCTCTGCTTCGCTTATTACTGCTGCAGCCTGACGAGCCGAGCTGAGCTCAGCCTGCTCCCACGACGTACATACGCGCGAGCAGACGACTAGCCGAGTAGAGTCCATACGCTCGCTCACCGCACCACACCAGCCATGGTGGCGATCACGGCGCCGAGCTCGATCGAGCAGATACCGCTGGTGCAGTGTCCCAGGGCCAATGCGGGCCAGCAGGCGGGCGCGGCGGCCATCCCGTGCGTGGACCTGTCGGCGCCGGGCGCGGCCGCGGCGGTGGCCGACGCGTGCCGCAGCGTGGGCTTCTTCAGGGCGACCAACCACGGCGTGCCGGCGCGCGTCGCCGAGGCGCTGGAGGCCCGCGCGATGGCGTTCTTCGCGCTGCCTACGCAGGAGAAGCTGGACATGTCCGGCGCCGCCCGCCCCATGGGGTACGGCAGCAAGAGCATCGGCTCCAACGGCGACGTCGGGTGGCTGGAGTACCTCCTCCTCTCCGTCAGCGCCAACACCGTCAAGGTCTCCTCCCTGCCGCCCTCGCTCCGGTAAGCTAGCTAGCTGTTGATCTTGCTTCGTCTTCGCCGTGCACGCACACCTGGGTCGACTCACTCAGCGGACTGGATGCATGAGCATGCAGAGCGGCATTGGAGGAGTACACGGCTGCGGTGAGGGAGGTGTGCGGGCGGGTGCTGGAGCTCATAGCGGAGGGCCTGGGCGTGGACCGGTCCCTGCTGAGGGCGATGGTGGTGGGGCGGGAAGGCAGCGACGAGCTGGTGCGCGTGAACCACTACCCGCCCTGCCCGCTGCTGCCGCCGGTGGACTGCGGCGTGACGGGGTTCGGGGAGCACACGGACCCGCAGATCATCTCCGTGCTCAGGTCCAACCGCACGGCGGGCCTGCAGATCAAGCTCCGGGACGGCAGGTGGGTCCCCGTGCCCCCCTGCCCCGGAATCCTTCTTCGTCAACGTCGGAGACGCGCTGCAGGTACTCTACTATTTTGGCCACTTTTAAATTTTTTCCTGCTCTAGTGGTGTGCATGCACAGACGTGTGTGTTGCTGCCTGTGCGACACCCAGCTCGATCGATCGCTCATGGCCTTCCGTTTCCGTCCGGTGATGGCGATGCATGCGCAGGTGCTGACGAACGGGCGGTTCAGGAGCGTGAAGCACCGGGTGGTGGCGCCGGAGGGGGCGCAGTCACGACTGTCCGTGATCTACTTCGGCGGGCCGACGCCGTCGCAGCGGATCGCGCCGCTGCCGCAGGTGATGCGGGACGGGGAGCAGAGCCTGTACCGGGAGTTCACGTGGGCCGAGTACAAGACCGCCATGTACAAGACCCGCCTCGCCGACCACCGCCTCGGCCCCTTCGAGCTGCGCGCCACCGCCACCAACAGGCCGCCAACGCCGCCCAGCGCCGACCCGCACTGCAACGGCAGCGGCACCTGCATGCCGCCGCCGCCGCTGCAGCAGCAGGTGGCAGAGGTGCACTAGTAGACCACTGCCACACTACTGGTACTCCTACACTAGCGTACTGTACCGTGCCTACTGCCTAGCTTGGAGAGCAGTGCCAGGCTAGGCTAGCTGCTACCCTGGTGCCCTGGTGGTGGCGCCTGGTCCATGGACCATGGAGCGAGTCCACAGTTCACCTCTCCTTCCTTTTGTATCGGGTAGCTGAAATGTAGCAGTAACCCGGTGGCTTGGCCGGCCCAGGACTGGAGGAACCTGCTGCTTCTCGCTGCAGGCTGGCTCTCCGCTCTGCGCCGCGCCTGAGCCTGACCGCTGCCTGCGTGTACATGGCCGTCCTTGTAGTATCGTGGTAGTAGCTGACATGTGGTAGTGATGTTGTTTGCATGTCATGCTGCTGCCACTTACTCCTCCTCCTCCTCCTCCTCCTGCTGCTGCTCGAGGCACCGTACGTGTCCGTACATGAGCAAGCAGGCTGTGTGGATGATGTAGCTGCATCTGTGACGGCGACCGGAACTGTGAAGCCTTTGTAAAGGGAAGTGGTAGTACTAATAGATTATCAATTTCACGTGCACATGCCGTCCCGACTCCGATCTCTGTCTGTGTTTTTTTCTCTAAGGGCCTTTTTCGGCCTCGTTTAGATTGCGAAAAAATTTCAACCCGATGAATAGTACCATTTTCGTCTTATTTGACAAATATTGTTCAATCGTGGACCAACTAGGCTCAAAAGATTCATCTCGTGATTTCCAACTAAACTGTATAATTAGTTATTTTTTTTACCTACATTTAATACTCCATGCAAGCGGCTAAAAATTGATGTGATGGAGAGAGAGTGAAAAAACTTGGAATTTGGGAGGCATCTAAACAAGGCCTTCATTTGAAAGTGATCTCTGTCTGTCCTTATACCGCTGGAACGAGCCGTCTGGACCACCTCACCTAGTACTTGCCGTTGGACCTGATCTGCCCTAGCTGCACCCCTATCATACTAGCGGCCAATTCAGATAAGCCATTCCTCTTTGGATTAGAGGGTGTGTATGTATGAGGGACAATCCCCTCCAATCGAGATGGAAAACGGGTGTGTATCGAAATTTCAAATAACTCCTAACCGTATTTACTTTGCCAGTGCGTTTGAGCGTTCCCTATCCCTACAGCTTGTCCAACCAGAGATCATGAAATCTTTTCAAAAAAAAAAATGAACGCTCCACAATTTGCAATAATCTTGAACCAAATTCTATTTCTTCTATCATGGTACTACCGATGAGAGACTAGCCTTCCAAGACCTCCCTCTAAGGGCGTCTGCAGCGACATTCACCGTGTTCGGCCGGTGCAGTAAACAGTGATTTTCAGATGGTTTTGGATAATTTAGCAGTATTTTATGAAAAAGAATAAGCTAAAACAAGCTGGAAGTGTGGCGATTTCGCCAGTTGATCTGGCATCAAAGAAGAATAAAAAATAAAAGAAAAGCTAAACACGCATTGATGAACAAGTGTGAGTCAATCCGAGAGAGCATAGACCGTAGATGCTTTGGGGACCGTGCGAGGCCAGCGATGAAACACCTGCTAGCTACTCGTTTCTTAGGCTTCTCTTTCCTCCATATCAGAGGAGACACGACGTCAGCTGGCGACGTCGCTGGACCGTTGAGGACGCCATAGTGCCTGTTGAGTTTTCAAAATTTTGCAAAATTTTTCAAGATTCTTCGTCACATCAAATTTTTGACACATGCATGAAGTATTAAATATAAATAAAAAATAAAATTAATTACACAGTTTAGACGAAATTCACGAGACGAATCTTTTAAGCCTAATTAGACTATGATTTGACACTAATTGTCAAATAACAACAAAAATAATACGGTACCATTTTCAAAAAAATTCGTCAACCAAACAAAGCCCTATGAGCGGTTCTGACAGGGTGACCAGAATAGTTTCATAATTAAATGAGGTTGTCGCGCCGTCAAAATAGTGATGTTGCAAGATATTTAATTGAGAGATAGATGAAAAAAAAAGGAAAGAAACATCTTAGGCTGCGTTTTATTCCTAAAAAAAAATTCAAAGAGTGCTATAGTAGCTATTATCGAATCTTGCGATACGTGCATAGAGCATTAAATATAGACAAAAAAAAACTAATTGCACAGTTTGGTTGGAAATCGCGAGACGGACATTTTAAATCTAATTAGTCTATGATTAAACAATAATTATCAAATAAAAACGAAAATGCTATAATAACCAAATTTCTAAATTTTATGAACTAAACATAGACATAGAAACCAAGTTGACAACATACTCCCTGTATCGGTCGAGGATGCAATTCTAGCTCGTTGGCCTTTCCAACAAAGAATGCAATCTAGACTTGTAGGTGCATAGGGTAGCCAGGCAGTGGGTCCAGCTTTCACGTACTCCGTCCACAGCTGCATGCCTCTTCTCAGCCACACACACCTCTCCGCCCACCTTTTCATCTGCAATTTGATTGACATCGATGCTCGTGTATCAATAGTACGCCTGTGAGCGTCTGCCAGCGGAATAAAGTAGGAGCACGTAGATAATCTCAGGGCCGCTTGTTTAGATTTCAAATTTTTGTAACCTGGACATTGTAGCACCTTTCGTTTGTATTTGATAAACTTTATCTGATCATAGACTAACTAGGTTTAAAAGATTCATCTCGTGATTTACAACCAAACTGTGTAATTAGTTATTTTTTTACCTATATTTAATGCTCCATACATATGTCTAAAAATTAATGTGATAGAGAGAAAATAAAAAAACTTATAATTTATAGGTGATCTAAACAAGGCCCTGGCCTCGGTAATGTAGGGCTGCGTTTAGTTCGGCCGATTCGGCGCCGGCCGAATTCGTGTACCAATAGTGCGCCTGTGTAGCTACAGTGTCGCTTTGTTTTTATTTGGTAATAATTGTCTAATCGTTGATTAATTAGGCTCAAAACGTTTGTCTCGTAAAGTACAACCAAACTGTGTAATTAGTTTTTGATTTCGTCAACATTTAGTACTCCATGTATGTACCGCAAGTTTGATATGACGAGAAATCTTCTTTTTACATAGTGCCAAATTCTAGAAAATGAGGGAACTAAACATGGCCTAGAATTGCTTTCTTTCACAACGCAAGGAAATGGCAACTTCCACGCTGGGAGAAAACCAACTGTTTCTTCTAGAAACTTTTGTGGGGCCGCAGCTGTACACTACGAGTACTCGCTAACGTGTGCTGACACGCCGCCGCACTCACTCACCCGCAAACCGCGCCGCCAACTCGTTCACTAGTGTTCCACCGATGGTCCCGTTTGTTTGGCTGATTTGATTGATAAGTTATAATTAAAAATATTATTGATTAATTTAATGTGAGTAAAAAATATTATTTATTATCTGAAAAAAATACAGTTTATAAGACAAACACGCATGTCGTTGCTTACCCGCGTCCAACGCCACACCTGACACCTCACACTCGTTGACCGCTTGCATCGTGTCGGCCGCACTGCTACGTACACTCTTCCGCCTGCAACCCTTCTAGTCCGCCTGCGTCCAGCTGCTCGCCGCCCTGCCACCACTTGCGCCGGCACATCGCGCTTGCTTCCCGCTAGCGGTGCTTCCCAGCAACGGCCCGCGCAAGTTCGCCTGCATCCTGCTCGCCATGCCACCACTCGGCCTTGGGGTGCCTTGCGCTTGAGTATAAAATCGGAGCCGGAACTAAAGCTTGTTGCAACGCGCGGTCGGGCGCCCGGCGTCGTCCATTATTCGACATTTCGACGTGGCAGGGCCCGGTCCCGATCATACTGATGGTCGTCGTCGTCATCATCATCGGTGTTGTTAGGCGTAGCATTTGAGGCCGTGTTTAATTGCCCGAATCGGCGCCGACCGATTCATTGTAGCTACACGGTAGCTACAGTGTCGTTTTATTTTTATTTGGTACTAATTGTTCAATCGTTAACTAATTAGGCACAAAATGTTCGTCTCGCAAAGTACAACCAAACTGTGCAATTAGTTTTTGATTTCGTCAACATTTAGTACTCCATGCATATACCACAAGTTTGATGTAACGGAAAATTTTCTTTTTGCATAGTATCAAAGTTGGGAATTTGGTGAACTAAACATGGCCCGAGGCAAGTTTGCCGAACGAGGATCGGTATGAGAGCTGAGAGGTACGGTATTTACGGCGGCCTTGAGAGGGCGCAGATCCTCGCACGCGCGCACCGATGGTGATATATGCAGGGGAGGAGCACATGCATGTTCTTGACGGGCATTGCCATTTCGTCCTCTACTAGCGTTAGTTAGCGTGTAGAGCACTTATACACAGAGAGTTATGAGGCTGTGTGTGTTTTGCACTTAGCAGCGGCGGCATGCATGCAAAAAAATATCGATCCCACCCAAGAAGAGAGAAAGGCGATAACTAACAGGCATGCATCAAATGATGCCACGAGCACCAAGTTTGGTGGCTCCGACGACGGTGACCGCGCGGAGCCAGATTTTTGTCACTGGCACGCACGCACGACTGCATACTCCTTTTGGCTACTTTGGCAGCAAGGGATCCCCGAGGGTTCCCGCGACTTCCCCGGGCCGAGAAACATGCGGCGACTTTCCCTACGTCAATCTGTCGTGCTCTTTGGAAGCAAGCCCACGCGGGGACAGAAACCCGTTTCACTTTGTTTTCCATGCGGAAGAAATCCACGCGTCATGAGGCCGAGAGCGCTTCCCCTTCCCCGACCCCGTGGCTCACGCGACGACTCGCGAGGCGGCGGCGGCGGCCGCCGCCACCATCGTCGCCATCACCCCCGGCAGCTCATGGCCGGAGCATCACTCCTGGCGTGCATCTCCCAGTGGCTGGCAACTGGCGTGCATCTCCCGGTGCCCGGCGATGCATCTCTCGCGAATCGCGACCGTGTCGCTGCCGCCGCAAGATCCACATCTCGGAGCAGCACCTCCACCTCAGCCTCATCCTCCTAGCACGGCAAAATCTCGTAGGTGTTGGGGCCGCCGAGCTGCCGCATCCTCCTCCATACTCCAGCGTCCGGGGAGAAGCGCC